TGCTATCCATGCAATTAGGCAAATGAGTGAAAAATACAGGGAAAAGAACAAAAAGCTACACATGGTCTTTCTCGATCTAGAAAAGGCTTTCGATAGAATCTCAAGAAAACTTATCTGGTGGGCGCTACGCCACAAAAAAGTTCCCGAAAAATATATAAGAATAATAGAGGATATGTATGGGCAACAATGGTCCGTAGCACAACAGGTACTTCAGCAGGCTTCACAATAGCCGAAGGAGTTCATCAAGGGTCGGCTCTCAGCCCACTTCTCTTCATTATAGTAATAGATGTATTAGCACAGTCTATACCATCCGCAATTGAAAGCTGCAAATATTTGGGCTCCACTATACAAACAAACGGCACAATAGAAAAAGAGATAAAGAATAAGATTAATCAAGGGTGGTTAAAGTGGAGATCTTTATCTGGAGTGCTATTTGACAAAAGAATCCCACACAAATTAAAGGGAAAAATTTACAGTTCCATAGTACAATCAACTGTTCTATATAGTTCGGAAACATGGCCAACCAAAGAATCAGACGAGAGAAGTCTACAAACTATGGAGATGAGAATGCTGAGGATGATTGCTGGGGTAACAAGAAAAGATAAGGTGCGCAGTACAAGAATACTAAATAGTTTAAAGGTAGTGCCCATTAAGACTTAGTTAATGGTAAACAGACTTAGGTGGTATGGGCACACAATGAGAAGGCCTATGAACTACATAGGAAAAAAGTTGAAAGTTTGGAAGTGATGGGCAAACGTAAAAGTGTAAGGCCAAAACTTCAATGGGGCCATAAAGTTAGAGCCAATATAAATAAGTATAAAATAGATAAAAGAGATTGTATGAATAACATAAAGTGGAGAGAGATGCTGAAGAAGCTTACCACCAGAAAAGGTGAAAGCTAAAAGAGAAAAAAAATAAAATAATATTTTTATTAATTAAAATATTTTCATACAGATCTTAATACTAAAAATTATAATGTATAAAGACTCTATTTAAAAAAAAGTAAACAATTATATAAAATATGTGTAATTCTCAGAGACCTGCAGGCCCGGCCCTAAGCCCGGCCCGGGCAGGGCCGGACCGTATTTAAAATTTTTTAAATATACCCGGGCCGGGCCTAAAAAATTTTTTTTAAAATATATCCGGGCCGGGCCGGGCCTTAATATTTTTTATAAAAATTTTTACATTATGAGTTAATGGTTATAAGATTATATTATATTATAGTTATGATTAATATAAAATTGGGTGATGGTTAACACAACTAACACACATAGATCGATCTAATTATTAATTTCCTGCAAATTTATTCAAAGTATTAATATATTTTTTTATAATTCATATCTAAATTTTTACAACATATTTTACCAAAACAATCAAATAAAGGAATATCTTAAATAAGCCCCAATATTCAAGTATTAATAATATATTTTTTATAATTCATATCTAAATTTTTAGAATATTTACCAAAACAATCAAATAAAGGAATATCATGGCACAAAATACTAATGATATAATTAATAAAATTAAAAATAATATTTATTCTTTTAGAAATACAAATAATAATTTAAAATCTGAAATATGGGCTAAATTTAACATCATCATAGATGAAAATAAAAAAAACATTGGCTACGTACAATGTAAGAATTGTTCAAGTATATTATCTTATAATTATAAACATGGTACATCACATCTAAAAAGACATAAATGTGATGGTAAATCCATAAAAATTAATAATTTTTTTTTACACCTGAAAAACCAACCTATAAATGTAATATAAAATATTTAAAAATTATAAAATAAATTATATTAATATTGTGCAATTAGATTATATTTTCAAAATACTATTTATTATACATGCATTTTTTTAAATAGAGATTTATTTTTATTTTATAAATTAAATAGTAAATTAAATACAATATATTATATTCTCAAAATATTTTCCATTTTTATATATTAAATATTAGTTTTATTTTTTTTAAATGCAATATAAAATATAATATATGCTCAAAATATTATTACTATTTTTATGAATATTAGTTTTATTTTTATAAATGCAAAAAATATAGTATATGCTCAAAATATCCATTTTTATAAATAATAGTTTTATAAATAATAGTTTTATAATTTTTATAAATTCAATATAATATTCTCAAAATATTAGCTTTTTTCATGTATTTTTTAAGTAATAAGCGATACTACTAGCTGAAAAATATGGTAAAATACCTCATAGGTAAATTTTTGTATATACCAGGTCGAATATAATTTTAAAAAATTTCGAGCCGGGCCTGAAATTTTTAAATCCGGGCCTGCCGTAAAAAATTTTTTTTTAATTTATCCGGGCCGGGCCGGGCCGGGCCTTAAATCTTTAAATCCGGGCCGGGCCGTAAAAAAATTTTTTTAAAAAATATCCGGGCCGGGCTGGGCTTAAATAATTTAAAACCGGGCGGGGCCGTGCAAATGGTGCCTCTGCAGGTCTCTGGTAATTCTTATGCAAATAATGGTATTTAAAAAAATATGATGATAATCTTATAAATAATACTTTTTTTACAAAAAAAAATTGATTATATATTAAAACTAATAAAATTTTATTGCTATTTTTTGATTTGAATTTAGAAAGAGAGATCTACTTTTCTCTGAGATTTTGCTAATTCACCTCGAATCAAATTTTTATCTAAAATAATCTCCTTATAAATTTTCAATAGGGCTAATCCATTTAAACGTTTTTCACCGGTTGTGTTTCTTAAATAGGTTTTTAACCTTTTTAAAGTTGAAAAAGACCTTTCATTAGTTCAGGTACTAATTGGCAAGGTAGCCAAAATAATTAATAATGTTTTGATATTAGGCAGGGAATCTAAAATGCAAATACACATGGAAAGGGCCTGCAGAGCATTTTTTGGTCAAAAAATACCCTATTCTGTCGATTTTTATACCAAAATTCGACATCACAAAGTAACTTATCATATGAACCTACTAAATCATCAGCATAAAACTCTGAGATTTTTTTAATATCCTCTCGTGTTTCATGTGTAATCAACGGTTTAGACTCAACCGGCAAAAGAAAATAAAAGCTTTTTAAAATATAATTATGACTAATAAATCTTTCTTTTAATTGAAATAAAAATGTATCAATAAGGGGAATAAAAATGCTTATTTTATAAAAATCCTCAATCGTAGATGCCATTATTTGATCGATTGGATTGTCTAGAGACTACTCTAGGTTTAAAAATTTCAATTCCAAGCTTATTAGCAATCTCCTTTACTTTTTCATATATTTCATGAAATTTTTCATCCACATTCTCTCTGATATTTGTTAATATTTCAACAATATCCTTTGTTCTATTCATAATCTACCTTAAATCCAAATCAATTTTTTTGTAGCATTTTGCTAAAATCATATGTATAAATAAATAAAAAATAAACACATTGAATTGAAATTAAAAACTGTGGCTTAATAATAGCCTGCAAAAGATTTTCGGCATATACTGAATCTTTTTCCTTGCTTGATATATAAAATTATAGTGCTGCAAAGACAACATCATATAGTTCATTAAAGAGTTTCACCGACTCTTGTCTTTCGATGAATCTGGTCGGACAAAATCTTTTTAGTTTTTTTTTGATTTTTTGAGTCAATATCATGATACGTTTGAATAAATAACTATCTTTTTTTGGGTGGTGTGAAATAGCTGCAAACCAAAAATAAATATAAAAATAATCAAATGTGTATATCTATAAAATTAAAACATAAAAATCAAGCGTTTATTAAGAATTTATTAAATTAAAAAATTAAAAATTTTTTTTTCATTTTTCATGAGGGGGGACCCCCCCCCCCCTTTCCCATGCCTACGCCATTGAACAATGATATATATGTCATTGCGCTTAACTTATCTAGCTTCCATAATGTCATCTAAGAGGAAGATAACCACCATATATCTAATTTATATTATCTTCTTCGAGATTATTTATTTTAATTAGACCTACAAATTTTTCCTTATTAGTCCATTCGATGATTGTCTAAAATGGTAAGACAACGTTATATTAATTTCATGACCTTGTCAATGTAGGTTACTAAGAATTATATTGCCTTGTGTGGTTTTTAAAAACCACTATCTATTGAGGTAGTGTATAAATTAATTAACCTTTTTTATAACTTGTAATTCTTGAGACAGATATTTTTTTTATTTTGATAATCAAAAATATTTAATAATGTAATAAATGGATGAATATTTTGCAATAAAAAATATTATCTTTGGTAATGTGTTGTATTTTTTCTTTCACTATTTTTAATCGTATCCATAATAAATAATACAATATCGCCTCCCCACCCCCATAATTTTTTTTAGTTTAGCCCCTGAGGTTGTAAAGGCTGACACCCCTGCGGCTTAAGTTTACGACTCGATTTCACGACTTGAGTTAGTCGACTAATTCGATAATGACTACATGAGTCGGAGTAGGGTGAACTGACTTACTTTTTAACAATACTGGACATGCCATAGAAAGAATTTCAAAAAAGAGTACACGTTTTGTATCAATATCAAGGCTTTCGAGTATAAAGAACCTCTAGTAATTTATAAATTATGCAGATTTTTCCCAAAAACATTTTTAATCGAATATGATATTAAATAATGCTTTATGTCATTAAGTAGTGTTGTTAAACGGCTCGTTTTGAGAAGATTTTTAAAAATGGCTAACTCAATATTTCATCCAGAAAAATACCATTCAAGCCTGAAGATTTTGCTCATAGAAGGAACAAAGGTCTATACATATATTAACGAAATCTCGAGGCAGGCAATATTTTTCTGGTTAAAATATTGAGTCAGCCGTTTTAAAAAATAGGCTCGAGCTGTTTAACAACACTACCATTAGGCATTAAATTCATTCAGATGTTATTTATCTGTCAATTTATTTCAGTTAGATCTATTTATTTATCATATTTTTTCGTAACAATAATTTGTCCCTCAATCTTAAGATTATATCATATCAAAATATCATCACAAATAAATTATTAATCTTGGATTTCACTATTATCTTAAACTATTTCTATAATTTTAGATTAGGTTTAAATAACTATGTCAGATGATGATGCTAATTCTTATTCAAGCAGGGAGAAAAATTTCTTAGCTATTGTAACAGATAACAGTAGATGAATATATTTTTAAATTTACAATTATGTTTTTATAAAGGCGATTTTAATGATAGTAATGAGGATATTTATAAAGCCTCTAACAAGGAACTTGTAAAAAACTTCGGTAATAAAATACATCAATGATTTAAAAAATAAAATGCCCATAGCTAGTCAAATTAATACACTGGAGGAATATGATGATGAATTAATAAAGTTGTTTCTTGAAAAAGAAATTCTAGAAAAAGCTTTGCAAAGTTATTATTGTTTTTGAAATAATATTTATAAAAAATGTAGGTGAGCATGAGCTCAGTGGCAGCAATGACCAAAATTTAAAGTTGGATGATAATTTAAATCTAATTGAATCTTCATCAGAAGATTATGAACAATGTCCTATATGTTTAATCAGATTTATAGATCAAGATACTGCATCACCAAATAATTGTGATCATAGTTTTTGTTTAGAATGTTTAACCGAATGGTCCAAAGTAAAGCCTAATCAAATTTTAAATATTTATTTTTAAAAAAGAATGTAACAACCTGCCCAATTGACCGGAAGCCTTTTGAATATATATATGCTAGACACTCATTTGAAGGCACTATATATAAAAAAGTAAAATTTCAATTAATGGAAATTAATTCTTGAAATAAATTTCCTTTATTATAAACTTATCGATATCTACTATTTGTTGTTAAAAGTTACTTTTAAAAAGCAACTAGCTACTACTAGTTGCATTTTTAATAAATATCATTTCAAAATTAACTAGTTATATCAAGTGAGACTTTCTAAAATCATTTTATTATACAAAATAAATTTATAAATTTCAATAAAAGAAAAAAATATATAATATATTATAATAGCCTCTCTTTGTCACTATTTATAATAATTTAATAATATAAAATTTGATGAAACTTTAGATGATGATCTATATAGAGTTAAACTTAAAATTAATAAAATTTTAATTTTTACCTAAGATAGATCCATAATTATGGACTTTCAAAGTCTAACACAAGCACAATTTTAATAAGCTCAAATTACTTGATAAATATTTAGACCAATATCATTTTGTTGCCCTTAAAATTCTTTAGAGAAATTTTTTTTTTTGAAAGTTCTTTAGTGTTGATGCCAACTTTTAATTTTTATTGTTTCTTTATTATAAGACATATGATTTTTTGGCATAGATTAGTTCCAACTAGGGCTGCACTTATTGTTTACCATTAGGACCAGGTTATAAATGTGTATATTTTAAATTGGCACAAAATTGACAGATATTTATACATACATTTTGGAATGTTGATAAATTTTAAAATATATTATCAAACATAAATATTTTAAGGAGGGGTTGGTAGCAGCAAATAAAATCAGCCTATGTTTTGAATCAGGTTTGGATCAACCAAACTGATTCAATTTCGAACAAATTTTAAATTAGCCAATTTTAAATTCTTCCTAAAAATAATTTTGTTTTATAACAAGTTGTGATGTTATATAATATTCCAAGATGTTTATGCATAAAAAAAATTAACTGACAATCTTGTGCCAATTCTGAGATATACACATTTATAATTCGGTCATTTCAATATTTACAAAAATATTGGCGCAGCCTTAGTTTCAACTAAGGAAAGCCTTTCACAATCAGTTACCTTATACTTTGTTAATAACATTACTGGTCAGATTGATGGGGAACAAATGAATCAAAATTCTTTTTTTTGAATTAGAGGTCTGCAAAGCCTGGCCCTAATTAGTCCATTTGGCCTATTAATTGACACAAGTTGTCTGGTCCAGCCCAAATTTTTTTTGGTCATGCCTGGCCCAATATAGTTTTATTATAAAAAATTAGCCTGGTCCATAAAAATTTTAAGAAAAATCAGGTTCTGACATTTAAAATTTCAGTAAAGGTTAGCATGGTCTTCTAAATTTTCTATATGAATTTTTCAGCAGTGTTGTTTTACGCTACATAGTAGTTCGCTATTGCTACCACATTTTACAAAAAAAGCAGCAAAGCTATTTTTACATTGTTTTAGAATTTTTTAAAAATATTTTTTACGTATCTTATTTTCACAAATAAAAAATATAATATATTATTTTTTCTAAATATATACCTATCAATTGATTTTTAAATGCTAATAAATTTAAATAATGTCAAAATCAATAAAAATTTAGAAATTTATTGTCAACTGTCCAAAAATTTAAAATAACTACAACGGAATTTTTTTTACTGCCCATTTAATTAAATACTGCCATTTTGATTAATATAACAACCAATTTCTTATTAAAAAATTGCCCAAATAATTTATCGTCTTTATTAAATAAATGAATATGATTATACTCTATGGAACTGGAATCGATATTTTTTAGTTCTCTTACCTTCAAAAATTTTTCATTTTTCATTTTCATTTTCAAGTGTGATTATAATAAAATTGGATGAACCAGATATGATGATAAATTTTTTTTCTCAAACTCCTATCACAAAATTAATATTTAAATAAGTAAATTGGGGATTTTACATTTATCCAATTTACAATAAAAAAATTAAAAGTATTTGTATTTCTATATATTTGAACTCGTAATAAATGCAAAATATTGTTAACTTTTAGTATTTAAAATATAAATACAAAGGCCATGTTCTGGCTACACCTGAGCACCGCCAGCTCACGCCTGTACTGCCAGCAATTTTATTTACGCCTGAAAAGTCGGCGATTGAATGAGTGGCGTGGCCAGGCTCCATTGATTTTTTTATGGTGGCAGTGTGGCAGCAAAATTTTTAGAATTATATCAAGTTTAATTTTCATCATTTAAATGAAAATTTATATTTGAAATATTTTACCCTGGCTACTATAAACGTGACGCAAAAACATACTGGTGAAGCCATATTATCTGATATCTATAGTATAGAAGAGGAATTTTAATAACAAAAGAATACAGATGGTAACTTATGCTGGGGAAAATGTCAAAAGAAGCGTCAGATTGGGGGATTATGACATCATCTATACCCATAATTTAGTTACAATTGATGGCATAAAAAACGTTGCAAGTATTAATATTCTGATTAAAAAATATTAAAGTAGTCAATCCTCAGATATCGAGTATCCAATTTGGAATGTGAAAATGAGGTAATATATATTTTTATTAATAAAATTATATTTTAAAAATTCGATAACAACATTACTTGATTCAAGATTTCAAAATCTTAAAATTGTTCTAGAATTTATAAATTCGATTTCTCACACACAATTTTTAATTATAAATTTAAAACTTTTAGAGCATGATAGAAATGCACAGAGGAGAGTCAAGTTGAAGAAAATGGGCAAATATTTAGTCCATATGTTGCTAAAATAACTCATTAATATTCCCCTCCACAACGATTATATCAACATTAGCAAGAATGTCATATTTTACTTAGGTAACATAGTATACTAGAAGAAGATGTGTTAACTTTTTGGAAAAAAGCGACTGGAACTTCTTAGGCTTGCTAATTTAGGTAGGAAGGCTTTTTGTATACATGCAACTAGTACACTCAAAGAATTTTTTTATCGCTGGATTAATACTCGATGCAGAAAGGACTTTCTATGTCCCAGGAATATTGATAAAATACTATTTATTCATGACAATTTAATTTTACTAGTAGATAGCCTGTCAAAAATGATTAAGAATGAGATTTTTTTTTCTTACTTTTATGATGGTTACTAGTTATTTGAAAATAATATCCAAATTTTTTTCTTTATAACCTCCTCCCCTCTTCAGGCCATGTCTAATCCATTAAAACCAAGTGTAAATGCTATATTTTGAGTCAAAATTTATTTAGAGCTTTTACTTGATACCCATATCAATGTTATTTGTTAAAATATTACTGATCATCTATACCTAGACCTGTGCGCCGACGAAACTATTGGCGGCCTGCGCAATTTTCAAAAATGGCGCAGTTATAAATTTTTATAACATATAAATATTTTTAATTGCTAAATAATTTTTTTTTTAAAAAAAACAAATAACACTACAGATATCTCGGCATAATTTTTAATATTTATCTAATAGAAAACTAATATAAATCCAAAATCGATTTCATAATTTTATAATTATCATGTATAAAAATATTTTATTTAAATTGTCGGGACATAATGATGATCTTCTTGAATTTAACATCAATCCAGCGGTAGAGAAAACTCTTTCACTAGGTGTGCTGGTCGCCGGAATGCAAAGAATTTTTTTGGCGAGCTTGGAAAGATTGGGAAGTTCACTTTTCTTTTCTCTCCAAAATTTTAGAACGTCCACATCTTGTGAATATCGTTTTCCAAGAAAACTGTAGCATTCTTGTTCTAAGTCACCTAACTTGGAATCATTTTATTTGTTGAATGTTTATTTGCTAATTTTGTAAAATAACTTGAATTTAATAATTCCTCTTGATTCTCATTAGCTATATTTACTACCTGATTATCATCATTCTCTATAAGTTTAAGATGTTTTATTATAAATTCTGAAGCTGAGCAATTTTGCTCTATGAAATACTTTGACACAATTGTCAATTTTTGAAATCTTGGATCTAAAAGAGAAACCAATACCTAGATAATTTTAAATAAAAAATAAAAGAATATACTTATATATTATTACTTGCAAATTACAAATCGGAAATCGTAGCGCAAGTTTATTTAGCATATTTTCCTTAAGTGAAATGATTTCAGAACTATCACTATCATTTACTATTAAATGTGTTTCAATTTCACTTCAAAAAGTAACGCTAAGTTTAAAATAGGCCCCTTTTGTACTGAAAGAAATTCGACAGTTTCTTTAAATTTTGAAAGAAATGTGATAATTTGAGAAAGTGCTTCCCAATTCTCTTCAAAACTTTATTAATTAAATTTTTATTTAATCCAGATATGCTTTCTAGCATAATTAATATACTCCAACGTGTTGGGACATTTAATTTTAAGGTTTTCATATGCGTGGAATTATTGTTATTATTATCATTGGAATTGCCAATTTGAAAACGGGTATCCGGGTATGGATCAGTGCTGTCAAGATCTAACATGTCTGATGTTAAATCCATTGTACTTAAGCATTTTATTTGATCTTCTTCAAATTCAACCTCTGCAGTTTTATATCTTAGAGCAGTATTAATTTCTCTAATTCTTTTGATGAGATTTTCAACAAAAGGTACCTTCTTAATACCATCTACTGTAACCAGATTGTGTAAACCATGACCCAAACATAGGTGGTGTTCATATTCACCTAATCGAACACCTTTTCTAACATTCGGCTTAGCATCTGTTACCATTTGTATTTTTTTCTTTTTTAAATTAAATTCTTCCTCTATTTTATCAATTTCAGTTAGTATAGTCTCAGCTGTGTGTTTTTGGGTAATATAATGAGTTGCTAAAGTATATATCATTTCAAAATTATCATTTATCAAATGAAATGTAAATGTGATATAGAATCTTCTTCTATATTGATCTGTCCACATATCAAATGTAATTGAGCAAAATTTTGGCCCTGAGTTAATTTGTTCTTGTACATATGCTTTCATTGATTGATAAACATCATTAAGAGCAGTACGGCTTAGTGTTGTCCAGTCTGGCAAATCAGCATTAGAATTGATAACTTGATATTTCTAAAATAAG